AAGTATATATATATATATATATATATATATATATATATATATATATATACCGCTCGGTATACAGTTTCGTACCGTACCGAGTGAACGTCGAAACTCCGGTACGATACGAAATTACAGACCTTGCTCGATACATATACGAAGTTGTGTACTGTGTATAAGAGCCAACATTGATGCTCTGCCATGTGTCGAGGGCAAACACCTCATTAGAAAGAATTTCATAAACAGTAGGTGAGCTTAAATTGTCAAAATTCTGAATTCACCTGCCTGAAGCCTTATTTATCTCAGCTACCATGAGAAGAAGCAAGGAGGTCCACATTACCTCACCAGTAGATCCTACATGTGCACCTTATTGCCTCTCCAATCATCACATAGAGAGGTAAGGCACACAGGTAAAAGAGGTGATTATCTTTCTATAGTGCACAAAACATTGTTCATCATAGGACCAAATTTCCAATGAAGAAAACAAGAAATAAAAAACCAAACTGATTTATCAAGCCATCTACAAGCTATTTGGACATAGCACTCAAAACAAAGTGTGAACCATCTTTTTATGTAAAAAAAGAGTAATGTTCTATCTACTCAATACACTTCTGCAGGACTTCATAATATTTTTATTTAAGTACTTTCCACATCCTTAGTGATACCCAACTTATCATGTTACGATAGTTTTAAAATGATAAGCATGAAATATTTTTGGTAAATTTAGATAAGAATGGAAAACATAGGAGGTAGCAGTGGGCAAAGTGGATTGAAGATATCTAAATGTGAAGTGGTATGCAATGTTAAATGGACTCAAGTACAACTATCGAAGCCATGTCCCTAGCACATTCGTATGTCCTTAAGTTAGAAACTTATCAGACTTCAATTACACCAAAGACTATCGTACCACCCAAAATGGTATAAAATGGGTGATATGTACCGGTCCGAGCCTGGACTAGTAAGCGGACAACCCTGTTTCGGGTGATCCAATCAAAAATTTTAAAAAAAAACTAAAATACGATGGGCCCATCTAATTCAGCATTAAAAAAGCAAAAGAAAACCTAAAATAGCAACTAGGATTGGCGAACGTAAGCCCTCCTCTCGCGATGCTGTAGTCATCACCGCTGTGTCACGAACGATCGTCGTGCACCCGCAACAACTCCATTCAACGAACCGTTCGTCGTTCTAATCTACATGTACAGCTGTTTGACAGCATGTTTTGGCTTGGTTTTAAGTCCTTTTGCTTGTAAAAATGTAAGTTCGAACAAGTTACAGCGCTACAGTGCGACCGCTCACCGAACCGAACAAAACAACTCCGTTTTCGCGTGCCACGGGCTGATTTCTGAAGCCCGCTGCTGCACGCGAAACGTCAACCATCTCAGCACCTTGGAACCATCCGAGTGGCACAGGGTTGGATGGGGCTTCGGTATAGTGTCGGGCGTTGAACACTCTTTCGCAAGTTCGCACGTTACCTTGACGGGAACTTGTTGTCGCGCCCGGCACTCGATGAGCAGCTGTTTGTGGACTTACAGCCATTCGTTCAACCCTCTAAAGTCCTTGTTTTCCCCCTCTCCCTCTTTTCTCTTGTGCACGCAAGGTGCTCGCTGAATTGCTTGTAAAGCTTCCCCTTTTCGCGAGACATCGGGACTTGTCCGTCGCTCGTTCTTCGAACTAATCAACTTTCTCTTTTTACAGGTCTTCGAGACCTGCGAGAGGTTGCAAGTGGGCTGATCTTTGCAGACGCAAATCGTAAGGGCGAAGCATGACTTAGGCAACGCAAGCTAAGTTCACGTCTTTGCCGCAAGGGTGCCTCGCGACTTAGGCAACACAAGCTAAGTTCGCGTCTTTGCCGCAAGGGTGCCTCACGCCTTAGGCAATTCCAGCTAAGGCCGTGACATTGTGGTATCAGAGCAGGCAAGCACTTCGAGCGAGCAGTGAAGGAACTTCGCAACTTCGCCATGGAAAAGCATCATGGCGAATCAAGCAAGACAGGGCAAGCCGGACCCTTGCCCCAAGCAGCCGCAGGTGGGCTGCAAGTGCACATTCGCTCGCATGCTGTTGGAGCCGCTCAGGAGGAGCGCGACAGCGAACATGATGAGCGAGAAGTTGGCTACTTCCGCGAGCGGAGGAGTTACAATCTGGAGCGCCAATCGGGAAAAAGAGTCATAAGGAGAGACTCACAACGGCGGAAACCCGCTTGGATGTTCTCGAAGCGAGCTTAGAGGAACTCTACCATGGCCAATGAAGGCTTGTTGGGGTAGAGAGGTCGCAAAAAGAAGCGGAGTCCAGGATCGACAAGGTTGAGGCCCTAGTCGACCGATTGTCAGACGACACCAAAGACTCCGTGCAACACCTGCAGGAAGTTGTGGCGGAACTCACTTTGAGGATGACCATGCTCACAAGGGCACTAAATGCGGGAGGAAGCAACACCCACGTTGCACAGCCACAAAACTTGAGGGCACCCAAGCCTCATGGTTATGGAGGGGCCAGAGATGCAAAAGAGCTCGAGAATTTTCTGTTCAATATAGAACAATACTTTCGAGCTACGAGGCCTGATTCTGAAGAAACCAAAGTTTCTATAGCAACCATGTATCTAAACGGAGATGCAAAACTTTGGTGGCGAACCCATTGGGAGGAGATCCAACAAGGTCGGTGTCAAGTTGACACATCGGAGGACTTGAAGCGGGAGTTGAGAACTCAGTTCCTACCAGAGAACACCGAGTTCGTCGCAAAAAGGAAATTGAGACAACTCCACCAAAATGCTTCCATCCCAGACTACGTGAAGCAATTTTCTGCGCTAATGTTGGACATCCAGGACATGTCCGAGAAGGATAAGCTATTCAGTTTCCTCGATGGTTTGAAGTCATAGGCGCAACAAGAATTACATCGAAGGAATGTCACCGATTTGATCGGGGCAATTGCTGCCGCAGAAAGGCTCACCGACTTCGTTTCCTCTGAAGACCCGAGAAGAAAGAAACAACCTTCAAGCAATCGCCCTCCAAAATATTCTCGAGGGAAGGAGCACGGGGGCGAACAAAAGAAGAAGAGTTCCCACAAAGGGCCAAGCCCGAAAGGCAAGGCCCCGAAACCTGACGGATGCTTCTTGTGCGGAGGGTCGCACATGGTGAGGGAGTGCCCACAAAAACAGGCACTCAATGCTTTAATAGCTTCCATCCTGTCACGGCCTTAGCTGGAATTGCCTAAGGCGTGGGGCACCCTTGCGGCCAAGACGCGAACTTAGCTTGCGTTGCCTAAGTCGCGCTTCGCCCTTGCGATATTGCTCCGCAAAGATCAGCCCACTTGCAACCTCTCGTAGGTCCTGAAGGACCTGTAAAAGAGAAAGTTGATTAGTTCGAAAGAACAAGCGACGGACAAGTCCCGACGTCTCACGAAAAGGGGAAGCTTTACAAGCAATTCAGCGAGCACCTTGCGTGCACAAGAGAAAAGAGGGAGAGGGGGAAAACAAGGACTTTAGAGGGTTGAACGAACAGCTGCAAGTCCACAAACAGCTGCTCACCGGGTGCCGGGAGCGACAACAAGTTCCCGTCAAGGTAACGTGCGAACTTACGAAAGGTTGTTCAACGCCCGACACTATACCGAAGCCCCATCCAGCCCTGTGCCACCCGGGGGGTTCAAAGGGGCTGAGATGGCTGACGTTTTGGTGAGCGGAGGCGGACTGCAGAAAACAGCTCGTGGCACACGAAAACGGAGCTATTTTGGTCTGTTTTTGGGTTGTTTTGCTCGATTCGGTGAGCGGTCGCTTGGTAATGCTGCAACTTGTTCGAACTTACAATTTTACAAGCAAAATGACTCAAAACCAAGGCAAAACATTCTGCCAAGAAGCTGTACATGTGGATGTGAGCGACGAACGGTTCGTTGAACGGAGTTGTTGCGGGTGCACGACGACTGTCCGTAACATTCTCCCCCACTTAAACCGTAGACGCCCTTGTCGATGCTTGTTGGTAGATGTTGATGATTGCTTCTTCATGTCGTAGGGCGTCTTCAGGCTCCCAACTAACTTCAGTTCGGGGAAGCTTTCGCCACT